GAAGCGATCATCACAAAAAAAAAACAAATTTGATTTCAATACGAAAATCCGTCACCGTAGACCATTCCGCGAGCTAATTTTTGTCAGCATCGAAACCGTACTAGACAGGTCGAACATCAGCCTGGAATATCTCTGTCCGTTTCCTGCTGAAAAGTACTATGGGATTCTAGGCTGGACACGCCGTAACAATCTTGTCCACCTCAAACAACGACGGCGCAGCTGCGCGACGTGATGGAAGCTGAATAGTGGCGGTAACTGACGAGTTTGACGGACTCAAGGTCCTCGCTGAGATGGCGGTCAAGCTAAGATGTGGCGCCGTGTGTGGATGTAATGGTGCTGTAAACTGTTTTTAACCCCCCTGGGGTCTCATCTGCCAGCAGAGCATCCAACTTAAAGCTTCAAACTCCAACTAGCAAGCAAAGCGAAGCAGATCAAAAGGACTACCGGCGGAGCAGAGGTACCCTACTTTCTCTTACTGCTGTCAGTACTTAATTGTCCGTTTTAGCTGTCAGTACTTAATTCTCCGTTTTAGCTTGTTCGCTGCAGTTGTGTTTGGTTTCTCGTTAAAGTGGGCATCTGCCTTCCCTTTCTTAAAAATGGGGATCGTTCGTAGCTCTGATTACAGCATGAGTTTCTTTAGTAATAGCGCCAAGTTTATGCTTTATTAATCATTGCAGGTGTCAATTAAGTGCATCATGCAGTCATTCCAAACCGCCGGCGAAACTCACCATGGTTGTGATGTTGCCTCTGTTACTGCTGTGTTATGGAGTCGGCAACGTCCATTGCTCGACGGTTCATGAAAACAGCGAAGATTTTCAGTCATTGTTCGAGTTCAAGAAAGGCATCCTCGACCATAATGGAGCATTGAACAATTGGAAACCGAATACCCACTTCTGCCGATGGTATGGTGTGAACTGCACCTCGACGCGGCGGCCATTACGTGTCACGCAACTCAACCCCTCTGGCAAAAACTTAGCTGGCAATATCTCTTTCTCTCTTAGAAATCTGGCCTTCCTTGAAAAGCTTGATCTATCGAATAACAGCTTCTATGGCCCCATTCCTGACGCACTCACAAACTGTTCCAACCTAGCCTATCTGCTTCTCTCTGGAAACCACCTCACTGGTGTTATTCCTCCTACAATAGGTTTTCTTACCAGTCTAAAAGGTGTCATCCTCGATAATAATTATCTCACTGGGGGGAATCCCAGCAGCCCTCAGAAACATCACCAATCTACAAATACTCAGTTTTACACAAAATCAACTCACTGGAAGCATTCCTCATGAGGTTATGCAAATGCCAAATATATTGGAGTTATACCTAAACCAAAACAACCTATCAAGTGGAATTCCTGAGGTTTGGCAGATGCCAAACATAGAGTTGTTAGACCTAAGCCAAAATAACCTAACAGGTAGATTCCCACAAGATCTATCTAGTGTATCTTCTCTTCAGGAATTATCCTTGACATCCAATATGCTAGGCAACACATTACCATCTAACATTGGTTGTGCTCTACCTAATCTCACGATTCTACTGTTGGCAAGCAACAATTTTGAGGGTCCCATTCCAGCTTCCCTAGGAAAACCTGCAGGTCTAGGAACAATAGATATATCAGACAATCGTCTCACTGGCCAAATCCCAAACTCTTTAGGAAACCTCACGGTGCTTTCTTATCTTAACCTTGAAAAAAACATGCTTCAAGCAACAGACAATGAAGGTTGGGAATTCCTCCATACCCTGGGAAATTGTCGTTCTCTATCAGTTTTTTCATTGTCTCATAATAACCTACAGGGAACCATACCAAATTCTATTGGAAACCTATCCATCAGTCTTACACGGTTGCTAATGTCTGAAAACAACCTATCAGGAATAGTTCCCCCGAGTATTGGAGAACTTAGTTCCTTATTTCAACTATCTCTAGATCATAACAATCTTACCGGTACAATTAAAGAATGGGTCGGAAATATGACAAAACTAGAACTTCTGAATCTCCAATCGAACAGCTTCATCGGGACAATTCCACCTTCCATTGGCCGTCTTACAAGGTTGACAAAATTTTTTCTTGCTGAAAATCAGTTCACTGGGTCTGTACCACCTAACTTGGGAAACCTTAAATCATTGTCTTGCACCTTAGCTATAACAGTTTCCAAGGGGGAATACCTGTTGAGCTTGGTAATTTGGGACAACTCACCACTCTAAATCTTTCATCAAACAAATTTGGTGGGGGAATTCCTGAAACTTTGGGAAAATTTGAACATATACAGACCATTCAATTGGACCAAAATATTCTTACAGGAAACATCCCAAGCTCCTTCAGCAATCTATATACCTTGAGCATGCTCAATATTTCGCATAACAATCTGTCAGGCCCCTTGCCAGCTTTTCTAAATGATTTGAAGACTATAACAAAACTAGATATATCTTACAATAATTTCCAAGGAGAAGTGCCAACAAATGGAGTATTTGCTAATGCTACCATTATTTCACTTGTTGATAATCCGGGACTGTGTGGAGGAGCCACGGATTTGCATCTTTGGTCATGCCATGTATTGAATAAAAAAGGTAGAGTGGTAAACTATTTAGTCAAAATTTTGATCCCAATATTTGGGTTCATGTCACTCGTATTACTCGTCTACTTTGTACTCCTTGAGAGGAAGAGGTCAAGAGCATATATGTCGTCAGAGCAATCTTTTGGTGAGCATTTTGAGAAAGTTACCTTTAGTGACCTAACTCAAGCAACACGGGACTTCTCAGAATCCAACCTGATTGGGAGAGGAAGCTATGGTTCAGTGTACAGAGGAAAGTTGAAGGAAAGCAAAATGGAAGTGGCAGTGAAGGTTTTTGATCTTGAGATGCGAGGTGCAGAAAGAAGCTTCGTGGCAGAGTGTGAAGCACTTAGAAGTATTCAGCATCGTAACCTTCTTCCAATCATAACTGCTTGCTCAACTGTAGATAATATAGGAAATGTTTTCAAAGCTTTAATTTATGAGCTCATGCCTAATGGAAGCCTGGACACATGGTTACATCACAAAGGGGACGAGGAGGCTCCAAAACGTCTAAGCTTGACCCAAAGAATAAGCATAGCTGTTAACATAGCTGATGCATTGGATTATTTGCACCACGATTGTGGACGTCCCACGGTTCACTGTGACTTGAAGCCTAGCAATATAATTCTAGACGATGATATGAATGCTCTTCTGGGAGATTTTGGAATTGCACGTTTCTTTGCGGATCCTCAGTCAACATGGGCAGGTTCAATTAGTTCGATTGGTATGAAGGGCACAATTGGATACATCCCTCCAGGTAGTTATTTCGGTATTTTTTTTAGATTAAGTCCACTTTTGGTCCCTCAACTATTAGACTCGTCTAATTTTGATCCTCAACTACAAAACCGTCTAATGCTAGTACCCTAAATGCCAAAACTGTTCACTTTTAGCACCTGGGCGAGGGCAGATCTGTTTTGTCCAACGTGGAGCGGGTTTGACCACGCCACGCTGGCGCTGACAGTGCCATGCTTGGCCCTCTTTCCTCCCTGTCACCAGTGGCGAGCAGGCTACGATGGCGGTGCGCGTGTAGGCTGCGGCACCGGCGCACGAGCAGGGCGGTGGCGCTCGAGCAAGTTGTGGCGGCGGCGCGCGAGCAGGCTACGACAGCTATCGCTCCCCTGCGCCGCAGTTGAGCTCGCCGCGGACACTGCCTCCCTGCGCCGCAGCTGAGCCCGCCAGTTCTGCCAAGCCCTAAAGTGCGCGGCACGCCCGTCGCTGGCTCGCTGTGCGGCATAGCGGCCATGGCGTCGCCGTGGCCTCGACCGTCTGCGCGCGTTCCAAGCCGAGCCCTCTCCTCCCTAGTCGCGCTCTCCTCCATGTTCCCCTCTCCCTACCGCACCCGACGCGCCTCTCCGCGGCGCTAGCACGGGCGCAGGCAGTAGGGCCACAGACCACCTACCGCGAGCGCTGGCTTTGTGTGCAAAGGCGGCGGCGGGAAGGCATGGACGTCTCTCTTCCCCTCTCAAATTCGTGATGTTTCCAATCTCTCTCTCCAATTCCTCACCACCTTAGGAGCCTTGGGTCTTGAGCTCGCTGTTGGGCGTGATCCCATCAGGGAGCATCCTCTATTAAGCTTACTCGAACCATTCTCGTCGGCGGTGGCCGCCATTGTCACTGAGCTCAAGCTCCGCCACAACCAACCCCATCTCGCCCACTCTCTTTGCTACCTTCGCTTCATTTCTGTGTCACCATAACCTCCTGGGCGTCCTCGGTGTACAGGTTTCACAGAGCTCGCTGGTTCGCCGAGAACGCCGATGCCGCCCCAGTTCATCGGTTACCTTGCCACCGCCCCCGTGGCTAGCACTACTCCGCTTGCCTCCGAGCCAACTAGAACCTTCTATAGAACACCGGTGAGCCGTAGTCCGTCTTCGCCCCCTTGCTTAGCCCAATGTAGCCGCCGCCTCGTCAGAACGCAACAGTGTCACCGCTGCCACAGACCTGCGCGTGGCCGGGCCATGCCAGGCCACCGAGGCTGCTACCACCGGCACTGTAGGGCCACGCGACCCCGTCCGAAGCCGCCGCGCATGCTCCATCCACCTCGTCCACCGATGGGCGGACCTTCCCCACCCACAGTGGGGCCGAGCTCGCCTGTCCGGATGCTGCTGGAGCTAGACGAATGCGAGGGAGGGGATGAGTGGTTGAAATGTGGGCCCCACATATCACTGAGATGGAGGCCGATGTCCTATGTTGTGGTCAACGCCAGCGTGGCATGGTCAAACCCGCTTCACGTTGGACAAAACAGCCCTGCCTGCGCCCAGGTGCTAAAAGTGAACGATTTTGACAGTTGGGGTACCAGCATTAGATGGTTTTGTAGTTGAGAGTCAAAATTAGACGAACCCAATAGTTGAGGGGCTAAAAGTGGACCTAATCCTTTTTTTATTGGGTACCTCAAATTTTCCTAGATGACAAATGGTTATAGCATAACTTCTTTGTGCACATTTTCTTGTTTAATTTAGAATATGGAAGTGGTGGGCATGTGTCAATGTCCGGAGATGTTTATAGTTTTGGGATAGTATTGCTGGAGATTTTGATAGGCAAAAGGCCGACAGATGCTATGTTCATGGACGGACTGGACATTATCAGCTTTGTGGAGAACAGCTTTCAGAGTCAAATATTTGACGTCATTGATGTTCATCTCGTGGAAGAATGCAAGAACTTAACTCAAGACAAGAATGTACCAGAAAAGGAGATCAACAAATGCTTGCTGGATCTGGTGCAAGTAGCACTTTCTTGCACGCGTTCATTACCATCTGAACGTTCGAATATGAAGCAAATAGCCAGCGAAATGCATTCAATCAAGGTTTCACAATTGGGATGGATGACGTGTAAGAAGTAGGGGGTATGTGTAATTTGTTCAGTATACGGTGAACTGCACAATGTGCTTCGGACAAGCATGCACTGTTATGATTAGTGTACAACTATGGTTATCTTCTACTGATCGAAAAATAAAAGAAGCTGTCTATTGATCGCTCAGGTGCTCCCCCCACCTGAGGACTTTTTATAAAAAAAACCAAAAGATCAAAATAAATCCTACAACCAGAGTGCACTGAGAGTAACTTAGTTGATTGGTTTTTATGGTGAATCCTGGTCACCAGGTTTTAAGTCCTCGGCTCAATGTTGGTGCTCGCACTTCTTTGAATTCTTTCCAGCATCAATCTAGAGATGTATTGGCTTAGCCTCAATCTTTCGAAGACGTTCATAGGATTAATGTGTGTGCGTATGTTCATAGATGTGAGTTTGGTGTACTCCCTTTGTCCCTTATTAAGAGGTGGCTATGGCACTCATGCTACCTATTTTTATAAAAATTATTAGCAACATATTTGTATATCCAAATAAGTTTATTATAAAAATAGATTCAGTCAAAGTTAAGGATGGACCATAAGTATTAATATTTTCTTTATAAAAATAGATTCAGTCAAAGTCAAATCTATCTAATGATACTAATTATGTACCATAAGTATTAATATTTTCTTTATATATTCAGTCAAAGTTAAATATATTTGACTTCTCAAAAAGTAAGAACGATAGCTAAAAAGGACAGATGGAGTATGTATGAGTGTCTACATCAATACTGTGATTTGTAAGCAGCAGCAGCAGCAGCAGAAGAAGAAGAAGAAGAAGAAGAAGAAGATCCAACGGCCATGAAAGCATCTAGGCCCCTAGTTGGGCTTCGGTGATTAATGACAATACGAGATTACTGTGACTAACGTGTGTTTTGCAGATGCAATTAAGTGAGGTCATGGTAATGGCAATTGATTGGGCAATCATGGTTGTCATGCCCCTATGATGGAAATCGTTTCGGTTTTGAAGGATGGACGACAAGGTTAAGGATGGACTAGTTCTAAGTGTCGTTTGGTGTTGAAGAGACACTTAGAGTAGTTTAGGACTTTGTTTTTCCTTTGGCCGTACTATTAAGGGGGGTATGGACGGGTAGCTTGACCTAGGTGAGTCTAGTGGGTTAGGTGTGGTGCACACTTGTCAAATCTAGCACTAGGTAGCTCCTAAATAGCCCTTAGATCAATTGGAGCAAACTTTATTCACAAATGATTGCGAGATGGAAGTGAATGGAGGGTCAAATACTGACCGGACGCTAGTTTCGGTGTGACCGGACGCTGGCGCAGAGTCCGGTCAGTTCATTTGATCAAGTTAAAATTGTCTGGTGCGGCCGGACGCTGGGTGCCAGCATCCGGTCGACTCCAGTAAAGTTCTAGAGAGAGAAAATCATGACCGGACGCGTCCGGTCACAACTTAAACACTGGGTTTTGGGGTGAACTGACCGGAGCATCCGGTCAACTTGACTGGAGCATCCGGTCACCCCACAGAGGCACATAACGGTTTGTTTTTGAACGGGTGTATAAATACTTCCTCCATTCGTGTGAGGGGGTACTTTTGCTCATTCCATCAGCTGAGAAACATCTTTGAGAGTGCCAAGAAGAGCAAGGTCCTAGTGAGGTGATTGAGATTTGAGAATCCAAAAGAGAGGCCTCATTAGTGAAAGCAAGAGTAGCAAAGTGTGCATCCACCTTTCTCATTAGGCTTGTCGTGGTCAAGTGAGAGTTCGTGCTTGTTACTCTTCATGATCGCCATCACCTAGATGGCTTGGTGGTGATTGGGAGCTTGGTGATCATCCGATGGAGCTTGTGGATGACCCAACTCAAGTTGTTAGCGGTTGTGGGTGATTCACCACGACGGAGTGTCGAAGAATCAACCCGTAGAGAGAACTTGATCCTTGTGTGGATCAAGGGGGAGCTACACCCTTGCGCGGGTGCTCCAACGAGGACTAGTGGGGAGTGACGACTCTCCGATACCTTGGCAAAACATCGCTGCGGTCCTCCTTCTCTCTTTACTTCAAGCATTTACTTTGAGCAATTCAATTCTTGTCTTTACATTCATAGAATTTCCATGCTAGAGTAGGATTGGAACATAGGTTGCTAAACTTTTATGTGGTAGAACAATAGAAACACTTTTTAGGCACAAGGGGTGAAGTGGGCTAACCGTATGGTTTAATTATTGGAAAGAATTTTAGAATTAGCCCAATTCACCCCCCCCCCCTCTTGGGCATCTTGATCCTTTCAATTGGTATCGAAGCCTTATGCTCACGAAATTAGACTTAACCGTCTAGAGAAAGATGTCTCACGGGGATGGTCCTCCTCCTATCTTTGAGGGGATGATTTTCCATATTGGAAAATCCGGATGGAGGCGTATTTAGAAGCTCTAGATGTTGGAATACTTAGAGCCGCCTCACAAGGATTCCCAAAACCTCGGGATCCCACGCACCTTCAAGGCGATGAAGTGAATTATGAGAAATGGAATGCAAAGGCTCGAAACACCATCTTTAGAGGCCTTTGCAAAGATGTGTTCAACTGGGTGAGGAACCACAAAGACGCCCATGCACTATGGTCGGATATTTGTGCGCTCGATGAGGGAACTAAGAGCGAGCGTGAGGAACGATATCATCTTGTTATGAAAAAGCTAAATTCATTTGAGATGCTTCCCAAAGAAAGTGCTAATGAAATGTACTCACGTTTGAATGTTCTTGTAGAGGAAGTCAATGGGCTTGGACTCACTCAAATGCAACCATCTGATGTTGTAAGAAAAATCTTGAGTGTCCTCCCCATTGATAAATATGGGCATATTGTGACCATGCTTCATCAAGGTGATCTTTCCACCGCTACACCGACACAAATCTTGGGAAAGATCAATGCTCATGAAATGTACATGCACATCACGCCACAAGATGGCTCATCCTCTACCAAGAAGAAAGACAAAGACTTAGCATTCAAAGCTAGCCAAGAGAAGGGCAAAGCAAGAATTGAGTATGAGAGCTCAAGTGATGATGAAGTTGACGATGTAGTCTTGCTCTCATGGTGAGAAGAACTGCCAAGGTGCTAAAGAAGCTCAACAAGAGTGGCATCAAGTTCGATGGCAAGAAAAAGAAGTTCTTCACTAGCTCTAGAAGGATGCCAATCTCGAAGATGGATTGCTACAATTGTGGAGAACTTGGTCATCTAGCACACCAATGCACAAAGCCCAAGAAAGACAAGTATAAGAACAAGTACAAGGTCAAGAAAGATGACTCAAGTAATGAAGAAGAAGATGAGAAGAAGAAAAACAAGCCATACAAGAAGAAGGATGGCAAGAAGAAGGACTTCCACAAGAAAAAGAAGAATGGCAAGGCATACATCGTCGGTGATTGGCTCACAGATATTGATTCATCAAGTTGCTCATCCGATGATGATAGTGATAATGAGAAGGTGTCTGCCATTGTAATTGACTCTTCATCATCTTCACCGACACCACCTCCATCATCCTCTACACACCTATGCCTTATGGCCAAAGGTGAACGCAAGGTATCAAATGATGATGATAGTAGTGGTGATGATCATGCTAATAATGATGATAGTGGTAGTGATAGTGATGATGATGAATATGAAACACCTTCATATGATGATCTTGTAAAATTGCTAAATCAATATACTAAGATCATTAGAAAGACTAGAGCTAAGAATGACAAGCTAGAAGCTAAGAATTATTCTCTTTTAGCTAAATGTGATATAGCCAAAAAGGCTAGTGTTGAGCTTAGAGAAGCAAATGATGCTATGTCATCCAAACTCAAGGAGCTCAAATTTTCTAAGAAAGAGCTTAAAGATAAACATGATAAACTTGAGAGGATACACAATGAGCTCATCACTAGCCATAACATGCTAAAAGATGAATATACCAATCTTAAGATTAATCATGATAATCTTGTCATTGCTCAAGAATTTTTATCCAATGAGCCACATGATGCTACTAACGATGTTGTTAAGATTGATATAGCTACATCATGTGATGATTTGATCATTGAGAGCATTGAGCAAAGTTCTAGTAGCAAGGGCAAGCAAGTGGTTGAGATCGATAATTATGATGAGTATGTCAATCTCAAGAAAGATTTTGAAGAGTTCAAAACCCACAACACTATTGTGCTAGAAACTCTTGATCATGATGGTGATTTGATTCTTGAGAATGAGAAGCTAAAAGAAGAGAACAAGAGACTCAAGGAAGAGAAAAATAATAATGCTCTCAAGGAAGAGAACAAGAAGCTCAAGTTGGAAAAAGAGCATCTTAAGATTGGATTGAGCAAGTTCACAAGAGGCAAGCATCTTCAAAGTGAGCTACTAATGAACACCGTCATGAATATGGATAGAAGTGGCATTGGGTACATGGCAAATAAAGAGAAGAAGGCTCAAGCTCAACAACAACAACAAAAGCCAAAGCCAAAGAAGTGTTTTGAGTGTGGACAATAAGGCCACTTTGCCCATGAGTGCCAAACTCCACCACCACAATCCTTGCCAAAGCATGCTAGACCTTTTGCTTTCAATGCTCATTACATGCTTAGAAAGGATTCTAGTGGAAAGATGAAAGTCATGTTCTTAGGACCTCCCAACAAGAATAGGCCTAAGAAAATTTGGGTAGCAAAGACACTTGTTGAGAAGGTGAAGGGCCCTCAACAAGTTTGGGTTCCTAAAGCTTGATCTCTTGTGTGTAGGTGAACTACAAGACCGGTGTAAGTCATTGGGTAATTGATAGTGGTTGCACACAACATATGACTGGTGATCCTTGTATGTTCACCTCTCTAGATGAAGAAGTAGATGGACAAGAAAGAATCACATTTGGAGATAACTCAAAGGGAAAAGTCAAAGGATTGGGCAAAGTGGCAATATCAAATGATCATTCAATCTCAAATGTGCTATATGTTGCTTCATTGAGCTTCAACTTGCTATACGTTGGACAATTGTGTGATCTTGGCTTCCAATGCCTATTTACCGAGAAGGAAGTTGTTGTATCCAAGAAGGA